GTAATCTCATATTCACATTAGTACAGAAGTGACTAATTTTAGTGGAACATATATTTTATTCAGGTTGACTGAAATAGAGTAATCTATTTCTTTATCCAATGGCTGACGAATCAGGAAACGTTCACCCTACATGCATATGATATGTGCAGAACGTGAGAGAGAGAGAGAGAGAGTTCAGTAAAATAGCTTGCATCATCACAAATACTTGATTTCTGTGGACCTGGGGAATATTAGCTATAAACATAAATATGCTTACTTCAGTCCCAGCTTCACAAAACTATTCCAGTCGTCTGGAACCACTTCAGTTGATGAATTCTGGATAGGCAAGAAACAATAATAAAACACAAATTGCAATATAATAAAACTTTCAGAACTTGTTTTCTGATTGGCCTGAACTAGAAAGAGAGATCATTCAAAAGAGGTCTCTTCACGGGATTACAGTGTATGCACAGAATAATCCCATCCTTTCCTAATGATTTCAACTCAGCAAACTGACAAATATTAAAAGCCATTATGGCACCACAGTTTTAAAAAAAAGGTGTGGATTGGCTCCTATGATATTTCCTGGTCTGGGGTAACCGTAGGGTGGGTCCATGCTCACCAAAATTATAGCAGAATTGAAAAACTATCAATTTCAACAGATTTGTATACATATTGACTCACCTATGGATATACACTTCCTAACAGAAAAAAACTTAAACGTATTGCCCCCTTTAGCATCTTTTGTGTCCGACACATCACCATTTTTTATAAACTAATGTACCAAAAATGAGTGGAAAAATCTCAGTCCTCACCAATAATTTTTCTAGCTTCAATAGCATGGTACTCTCCACTTCTGAATGTGTTTCTTGCTTTTGGCTACTACTGTAGGACAAGATCAACCACTTCATACAGGTAACTAGCAGATGTTTCCTCCATGAATGCAATTTTTCTGCAGAGTTCTCCAGAGCTCTTGATACAGCATCAGCAATTATCCAACTGGAGAGGTTTGAAAAGAGTAACAAAGCAGAGGCAATGTCCTTATTTCAATTCTCCACACACCCCAAACCTTTCCCCCATTGCACAAGCTCAACATAACTACAGAATTATTTCAATGGTGTTTAACCCCAATGGTGCTGCTTAGAAACTTCAATATGTTATAAATATTTTCTACAGAGCATACCACACATTTGGAAATGGTAGCCCTTTTTTATGTATATGGCAATTAAAACTGTTCAGAAAATGTTTTTGCTGGATAATACACAATGCACTGGTTAGGTTTATACACTGTACAAAGCCATGGTTTGTTTGGTAAAGATTTGTTTCATGGCCCATGATAGCCTAAATCACATGGTTTACACACACACTAATAGCTGGGTTCAGATGCTGCACTAAATCAAAACCACAGAAACCATGTTATGCCTTAGTGCATTACAGGAATCACAGCACAGACTACAATGGACCCTATAAGAAAGGTAAGCAAACTGCCTAACAATCTTTTCTGGATTCATCGCCACATGAATATCTATCTGAAACCTTTTCTAGATTATCTAAGCCTCTGCTACATCCCCCAACATCTATAAATAAAACAGTTTACTTGAGTTCACTTTAGTCAGCAACTTCCAGTTTTCTTGCTTTATACTGACTTGTTTTGTCTCTCAGTCTGGGTCCCCATAACAGCATCAGATCTTTCTTACGATTTCAGACATTTATAAAACCTTGTTTGCCAGCCTTACTTATATACACTGTTCCCCTGACATCTCTCCCTCCCAATCTCTTAGCTAAACAAAAAAGAGTAATAGTTTTGCTAATTTCTGGTTCTATGGTAAACAATTTTCTTCTCACCCACTCTCTTAGATTTTAGGATTTTTCTGTGCTGACCTTTTGCATCTGCAGGCATGAATATTCTTGGAGCAGGGTAGGACACTTTTTGGTGGTCAGGAATTGCTCTTAACACATTGAGGGGGCAGAGGGCTGCAATATGGATTGGGCCACATGAGGGAAAAACTGGGCTTGATTTCTTTAGCTGTGATATATCTACCTTAAGCTTTATAAGTTTTCATCCACACTCCATTCCAAAATGCTGGGCTACAAAAACAGGAATTTGAAGGTCTACTCTTGTTTTAAAATAAAAACGAACACTAAATGGCTACATGTATAATTCTTTCACAGCTAGAAATTATGTAAGCTTACTGTTCATGATTTCCAAGTTTCTCAAGAGTTAGAGTTAATTTTTCTGTTAGATCAATGAACATCTCTGTATCTGATAGTGGTAGTAACTTGGAAATAATGTGACATTCCATAGCAAATGGCTGTGGTGAATCCACTTTCAGAAGATTATTCAAAAGTTCTGGCCATAAAGCTTCTCTCAAGACAGACTTAACAGCTGAAAAAAATATACAAAGGAACAAGTCAAGTCAACATTTCCTAAGTCCAAAATTCAGAGGAGTATGTACATACCAGGGCCTACAGTACCAAACTTACATCCTAGGAAGAGCTTCTTAAATATAGACTCAACACAGGAGTAGGATTTCTAGCCAAGACAGACCTCACTGTTTCTGGAGAAATGCTTATCTACTATGCTTGGAAAGAAGGCTCATACCGCCACATCAAGAAGCTCACAGAATAAGACCTAGATAAAGATTTCTTGCATCATTTATCTTAGGCAAAATTACAGAAGCACTTATTAGCCTGGCAGATGGCTTCAAAGCAGTAACGCAGAACAAAATGTTCAAATAATAAATGAATAGAAAGAAAAGAATGTCTGAACCCTTCAATGTCGCACTTCTTTAACAGTGTTAGACTTAAAAGCCTGAAGCATTCATAACATGGCTGGAGTACAGTGTCAAAAATCAAAACTGGCATGGTTACCTTTTGATAGGCATGTGAAATGTTGCTTCTCTTGACAGTCCAAGTACACATTGACAAGAGGCAGGAAAAGGGCTGCATTCTTTTTTAGAAACTTGGCTGTACTACACTTCAGACACCAAAGCTCAAAATGTAGCAAATGAGTCTGACAATACTGAACCAACACAGCTACAATAGAAAGGGAAATTTCTGTTGAACGTTTAAGGCACAAAAGCTGCACATCAATGTCAACTGCCTGGGCAAAGATAGGTTCTTTTTGTATCACGCATATGAAGACCTTTTCCAACTCTTCATTGATGGATGCAGACAACAGAATACTCATTCCTTGAATGTGTTCTCTTGAAAAAAAGAAGTCCCCTTTCAGGGAATCTCTTTGGTAGCCATCTGTGAGCAGCTGCACCAAAGTCTGTCCATAAACGCTCAGACAAGTTTCTTTTCCGGATTCAGATTTGGAAGTGGCCAGGTTTGTCTTGCAAAGCTGTAGCATGATTTCTTTCAGTCGGTCCACGTTCATGTAAATGTGCAGTTCTTGTAAAGCCTCTATCTGCACAGATTTTTTGGGAGATGCTCTACATCCTTCTTTTGCACCAGCATGCAACTCTTCCAAAACAGTTTTTGTGATGGCTTCAAAATATCTGGACAGTATATCTAACTGATCCCTAAGTTGTAACAATGGGCAACTCATTTTCAACAGGTCAAGAATGTTGCAATTTAGATGAGCTGAAAGCAGTTTCACTTTAATTGGATTTAGATTGTGAGGAGGGAGGGAATGTTGTTCTATAGCCAGGAACCAATTTTCCAGCATAGGATGTTTGAAGACCAAAGAGAGCATCTCTTCCATGATCTGCAATAGAAACAGTTGCAATAAAAGACTTTGTCCAATAAACACAAGAACTCTACTGGATTAGATGAAGTGTCTGTTCAGCACCCTGTTTTCCACAGTTGCTAACTAGATCCCGAGGAAAATTCACTTACTGAATAAGAAAGCAACAACCTTCTCCAGTATGATTAAGTGAATGGGATCTGAAAGCTTACACCTGATGGTACATTCATACTGAGTAATCTAGATAAAATTGAAAAAGAATATTTCTCAAAGAATTTTGAATGAAAAATTGAGGGAAAACGGTTCTATGAAACAAGAACAACTTTTAAACAGCAAAAGTTTTACAACAGAACCAATTTCCAAGGGAGGTGCTAAGCTTCCCTTACTGGATGTGTTCAAGTGGAATCTAAACAGCTGTTAAGGATGCTTTAACCTGGATTTCTGCATGGAGATGGGTGTTGGACATAATGGCCTACATGTTCCCTATCACTCTCTGATTATATAAAACTATCTCTGTATTTTGCCATATATTGACCAAAAAGAGGCAGTGTATAAACAGTTTCGTTCTTACTGGAACTCATTACAATCAATTTTAGATCTTATACAGTATACCTTTCTCTATCAGGAACAGGCCATGGCACATTTTGGAATTTATAGGCTAAATACATTTGGAGAGTACCAGATCATGGGCTTCATTTTTCAAATTACCATCTAAGGAAACCTATGCATGAGGGAACTTTTTGTTCTCACTGTACTCAGGAAATGTTCACTGTACTCAGGATATTTAAGCAAAAAATTATCTCTCATGGCTTTTGCCCATATAAACATACAGTAAAGAGTATGCTTGTTTTTCTCCTTCAGAATATCTACACCGAAAAATTAGCACCTTGTCATTCTCAGGATCTTGTATCAGAATTTCTGCTTCCATAAAAAGGTCAGATTCAGTCTGGGTACTTTTCTGTTCATGCCAACTATGCAACTCTATATTATCACCTCGGTGCAACAAGGTCTTCAACAGATCCATGTAGACAGTAAGAAGGGAAAGGCCAGAATTTTTGTCAAACTGTTGGAAAAAATGATACACATTTATAAGTGAGGGGAAAAAATGGAGGACTGAGCAACAAAACAATAATTGTATATTTTATCGAAGGAATATATTAACCACCACATATAGGCTTCATTTATTTGTTTTGCAAGTCCATGCAACATATTTTGTACATCCATATAACACTGTAATCAATGCCTACAAGTGGACACTTCTACAAGTATTATCTTATAGGCCTGAATCAAGAGATTACATGTATTTTTTAGCTACATATAGTACACCTGCTTCAGAAAATGCATGTTTGCTATCATCTAAAGTTGAGATGGCCCTTAATGAAAGGGACTGTACGTAACTATTAAACTTGCTTTCAAAGGAACAGGAAAAAAATAATAGCTTACACTGCCGAAGTTTTCCACACTAGTTTTTAGGTACAGAAGAACATGTTTTAAAGCCAACAGGAGCTGCTGAGGCTGGAGTTGGGAAATAGCTTCATTTAGCTTTGTTTGAATATCCTCTTCCAGCAGAACAGCAACACCTTTCTGATAGCTATTCTTTAGCAAGCTGAAAAAGGATGAATCTGATGACCGCACCTCATCTATACTTTTGCTTCTGTCTTGCTGGAACTGAGTAAGAACAAAAGAAAAACACAATTACATGTAGGTAAAAAGATTTAATCTATGCCAAATTAATGAAACTAATGAGGACTATACATCTACTGCCTTCAGCCCAAACCTGACCTCCATTGGCCTTCCCTGTCTGTTTCCACGAGCTTTTGTTAAAACCTACCACTAGATTCAAGATCTTAATCATAATTATGGTATGCCTGCACAGAGATTTGTCAGCATTTCCTCCCCTTCTGTCTTTTAGCTAGATTTTAAAACTGGCCTGGACAATCTTTTTTTCTATGGAGAGCCATATTTGCATAATCTGTAGGAAGCCTCATGCCAGTGGTGGGCATAGATGAATAAAACGGAATGGAACCAGAGTCAAAAGTGGGCAAGGCTATCTTTTCTCTTTGCTTCTTCCTTGACATCCCTTTTTTTTTCTCTCTGGTATCTACTGCTTGTACTCTACCACCTTTTCCTTAAACAGAAGGAGCTTAGAAGAGAAACCAACTCCTCTTGCCAGGGAGCTAAACTGCTTGCAGAAGGCTTTTGAAATTAGGCAGAGACATCTGCAGAACTGACAAAAGCAGCATCGAGCCATTGAAACACAAGCTCTACGACTTGTGTACATGCATGCAATGTCACAAAGCATACACCAAAGGAGTGGAGCTGATCAGTTGCCTCATCTTTTCTCTGCTCCCCCAAAACACCCCTGAAATTAAGGTCAAGGTTATGTGAAATTAGGTTTTGGTTGCTAGACTGTTTTGGATTAACTTTTCAGACAGCTTTCTTTTCCAGTTAGCTTTTAAAGGAATTATGTGCTTTTTTTGTCAAAATCTATAACAAAATGCATTTTGTTGTTTTTATCCTAAACAAGTTTGAGTATTGTTTTGCTGAGAAAATTGGGTATAAAAAAAACAAATCAAAACAATCTAAAAGCAATTCCAGAGAGACTGGTTTTGGCTAGGACTCATTTAGTCTGTTCTTCCTGCTACCAGACCTATATTACATATGCGCTCAGCTATAATAATGTTCTGAAAAAATATATCAGAGATCAGCCCACATTTGATCATGCAGTTCCATTGTGCCACTGTTTAATGATTAGAAAAGATGCATAAAAAAAAAGCAAGCTAACAGGATGCTTCAATTTCAACTTTTATAACCAAATTTTATAACCAAATTAAGGAGGCCATGTTTTGCTATGTATACTTCCCCTATACGTTACAATCTTAACTAACACCAAATTATGCTGTTTAATATACATTTTGGCTTGCTTACCAAAGCTTCCTTAGCTTGTTGTGGTATCCAAAGATTATAGTAATAGTTGAACTGACGAAGTGGTGCACTGACAGACTGGAGTTCTTTATCATAGTGTTGAAACATCAGACAAAGGGCTAAAGGATCTCGTTGAGAATGCAGGAGGTCAGTAAACACACCAATGAGATATTCCACTATGCTTTCTTCTACAAAGACAAAACGACAACTATAACAAAAACAGACTAAACGCTTGTGACTTCTGAAACTGAAGTATTCAAAGCCTCGTTCAGAGAGTACCTATGGCAAACTTCTTTCAAGAAGATTAACAATTGCATGGTTATCTGTAGAAAAAGGCATAATGGTCAATTTGCACAATAAAAATCAAATTGCTTCTTGATTTTGACTGTGCAAATAGAACATTAGGACTTTTGCTACTTACATAAGTTCCCTTTTTGTGTGTGTGTTTTACAAGATGTTTTAATACATTCTGCATTTTATGTGGAAGGCACATTTATCACTATTTTTGTGGAAAAGCAAGGTAGAAATTAAACAAGCAAGAAAAAATACCTCTTGCATTTTCATGAACAAGTAACTTATTTCTTGCTTCTAAAGAAGCTGGGACGATTGCACTGAATGGAAAAGTGTTCACAATCATGTCTTCACTTAAAGTATATCCAATTTCTTCATTTAAACCTTCACTGTCTTCTACAAGGACATCAATCATATCCAGAACGTCTGGTTTAGAAAGGAAAACATTTACATAAAAAGATATTTATAGGGGTTTGGAAAGAACAAATGAGTCAACTGTCTAACGAAAGAAATTGCAATAATTAATCTTATAGAAAGAAAATAACATGTAGTATTAGCACGTGCACATATGAATATGGAATATATACAACTATCTTACAAAACTTTTAATTTAAAATTGTAAATTCTGTTTGTAATATTTTAAAATAATATGGCAAACAATAACTTTTTTAACATTTAACAATTCAAATTTTATTTAACAATTAAATATTTTATAGTAACATGCAATATGCCATTTGATGTCCTTCTAGGATAATTTCAACTTTTTTTTTCTATCCCATACAAGAAATGTATGGAGGAGGGGGAAATCTGATCTGATTGGGGAACTGGAAAAAACTGAATTCCTCTCTTCATGGTCTAGAATTGGAAAAATAAAATAGCTGTAATTATTTTTCACATGAATGGTGTCAAACTGGTAGAAAAGTCAGAATATTTTGAGGGGAGAAATGGTATTAAATTTCAGGGAAACTTTTTTTTTTTAGTTATCCTCCTTTAAAACCTGACTGAAGTGCCATAGTATTTTATTTTGGGCAGAATATGATGAAATTTGAACAGTAATAGTCCCAATGGAGAGGAATATCTGGGGTAAATTTTAGACTGAAAATTGATGGGAGGTTGTACAAAGGAAAGGGATAATCATAAAAAAAATTCCAGGGAATTACAGGGTTCAATGCTTATATATAAGAAATTAAGTCGTCACTCTTTTCCATTAAACTAGTCAAGTTATTAAGAATGTTTGTGAGCTAAACGTAATTGTACCACTGCTTAGGGAGAACGAATGGACTGCAGTAAAACAGAGTGAATGATCAAACGAAGGATTTCTCCTCCAGATATCTAGACCCTCCTAACAACACTGTGATTGTGTGGTCCAATGTAGGGCTGATCATAAGAGTCACTCTGATTTGAAGTCAGCCCTGTTAATCACCAAATTAATACTCCCCTTCCCCATAACGGTACTTGACATAACTGAAGAAAGAATATCTCTTTTAGAATTCCTGTTGTAGGACAATTAGAGCAACAAGAGCAGACTGGGACTGAAGCTTCATGGAAACTCAGATGTGAAATCAAGTTTGTTCAGACCCATCCGATCCACCTAAGTTAAATAAAAATCTATTCTAATTTATCCTGCTCTGCTTTGGACAAATCCAATGCATGTTAATTCCCGATGGTGCAAAAACAATGCAACAGGAAAAAAGCATTCTATGATTCTTCATCAACTATGACATGGAAATCTGATTATGGTTGCTTAGCAAAGTTTGGAAAAGCCCAGTAAAAATAAACTCCTGAGATCTATGTTACCAAAGACAAACTAATGCACAAATATCTTTTTTCCATCCAGAAATCCTGCAAATATGTATCAGTAATCTCTCAGAAGTATGCAGAGGAAACTAAAGCAGCCTTTAGTTCCTAGTAGGTATGCAGTGTATTAGTTAAAGGCTTAAATTTTATACAAGACTTTATAACTGATGGCCTCTTTTTAAAATATTGCTTTTTGTAAATTTCCAGGAATATTAGCGCAAGATTGGCAGAAAGACTTTGAAAGAATCAGGCATACCATCAATGTGAGAAATGGGTATGCTGATATTATCAATGTCTTGTTTGAATAAGTTGACCTGAAGAATGCTTGCTTCTTGAACAAGGTCAGCTACCTTATCTGTGTATGGATAAGGGTTGGTCACCAGTTTTACCAAGACCTAAGAAGGAGAACAAGTAGTTATCAGAAGTGCTTAAACACAAGTTTAATAGAAAATAAGGCATTTAGAATCACTGTATTATAGAGAATAAACTCTTTTATCCTCCAGAGAAGAGACAGAATTTTTTTATGACAAAGAAATAAAATCCCCCAATTGCAACATTTAAAAAAAATATTGTAGAAGTGTGCTGTGTGTAAAGCCCACTGATGTCATACACATGTAATTCTGTTGAATGAAAATACAAGGAAAGCAGTCAACTTTCAGAAATCCACATCTGTATGAACTCTCTTTTCTTCAAGTAGATTCTGCAATGCATCCTGCAGAATTTCTTGCAGAAATTTACATCAACCAAAATGATTCCCTGAAAATCCTTTGAGTACAGTTTAACATATTTTTATTGCCAGAACACAATTCAACCCAGAAAGGTAAAACTGATAAACTAAATTGCATTGTGACACTTTAAGGCCTAAATACCCATATGTCACTTGGTGAAGTTTTGATTTTTTTTTTTTTACTGCAATTACTAAAAAATAATTAGATACATACGTTCACACATTATATTAAGCTATAAGGTAGTTGCTTGATTATGGTTTACTGTGCTTTGTGAATTGAGCCAGTTTAAATCAAGGTTAAATATATTTAATAAGCCATGGTAAAAACAAAAGATGGTTAAGTGCGATATGTGAATCCTGAGCCATAATAGCCCTACATACTCAAAACCATTTCATGTTCTGGTGATTCCAAGTCTTAGTTAAATATACAATACAGGAATAAAAACTAAGTGTATATTATTATTGTTATTGTTATTTTATTATTACTACTATTTCCCACCTCTTCCTTCTAAATAGGTTATTCTTGAACATCTTGGGTTATCTTTGAAGATAATTTGTTTTTTTAATTATCCTTAATTATTTAGTTCTATAAGAAAGAATTAAGCAGATTATTATTCTTTAGTAAAAGGTGAAAGATTTATGAAGAGTAACCAGTGTATTAATATTATTAGTCAGTGAGCTGTTTGTGAAGTAATTTTTCAGGACCGTACTATGTCTTTCCTGCATGTCAAACTTAATTACTACTTTCACAAGAGGAAGGAAGTAATGTGTGCATCCAAAATGTCATTGGGAGAATTAAAACAAGATTTACATAACCTGCCATTCTTTCCAATGTCCTTTGCTCACTTTGCCACACATAATAATATCACATGGATAGTAAGAGAGCCTACGCTTTTGTCACTACAGAGAAAATCTCTAACAAAAGCCTTTGTTTATAATCTCACTTTCTTTGTTCCATCTTCCCTGACTACAAAATGTTAGGTTCTCATAATTGGTATTAGCAAAATGTTATTCTTGGCATTGTTAAACTGATCAACTAGCACATTGTTTACCTTTTCCAAAAACTGAATCACGATTTCCTTTTTGGCTTCAACTGTATTATCCAAATGACTAAGCCACAGTTCAAGTTCCTTCCCAGTATATTCAAATAGTCCACTGTCATGCAAAAGCTATTAAGAAAACAAGTATTATACATACATTTTAGCTGCTATTTCTGTACAGCAACTTTCACACTGGCTACTGAACAAAAGCTGATGCCAGGTTAGTTGTTTACCATGGCCTTTTCAATAAAGGTCTGCTATGCTTCGCTAAAAACAGTTTATTGAAATACAGATTCCATTAAAAAAATTATGAACGCCTTCTGTTTCTCCTCTCTTGCCATTTTGTGTTACCTGTATTGATTCAGAAGGTTAATCTTTCAAAAAGTTTCTATAATGCAAATTCCATGATTAATGCAAATTGAAACAACTGTGATCTGTAAGATAGATGCAAAAGCAACGTTATTCACCAACAATCTGTCTAAACACATATAGCTTTCACACGTGCATCTCTATTAGAGGATCGCATGCGCAAACAGGTTCTGCGCAAGCATTTCTTCAGCCCAATTCAATAGTCAAGAGTTGTGCTTACATCCAGATGGTTACTTTTTCACAGCAAAACAGCTGATGAACGTTAAGCAAGCAATGTTTACTTGCTTAAATTATGACAGCTTACAAAATGAGCCATCTGAATGTTTATAAAGACTTAGCTCCTATCTGCAGCATCTATCTATTAGATGACCGGCAGTGGGAGATAATTACTATCTCCCCCCCACATCCAGAAACTGCTGAAAAGAAATGCCCAAAGCCCCAAAGGTTCACCACAAATGCATCTTCCAGTTTTAATTCAGCCCTAGAGAACATTCAGTATACTACTGTATGCTGTGATCCAACCGCTGTGCAAATGTTAAGTGCAGATTTGCTAAACAGTCTCATTGCCACCATACAATCGAAACTACCCTTGGCAAGCTAAGGAAGACATTCACAGCTTGCCACTTTCAGGCTATGCAAACAATGGCTCCTGAAGGATGGCATGCCAACATTGTGTATAAAACAAAACTTGGCATCTGTAGAGCTAGCAGGGTGGAAGGTTCCACATTATTTAATTGTTTTACTCACTTGCTGAGAGAAACCCGGGTTAAGAAATCCACGTGTCCCTAATATGGATAGAACAGTTGACAGGACAGCCTATTACAAAATGGAGCACTGCTCACTAAAATGTAAATGCAAGGCTCTCATGTGCTGATAGGTGCTAAAGACAGGTATAGTTTATAAAAGCAAATATTTTATGTTGAATAAGTATTATTTAGAAAAAACTTTGGGGACATGTCTTACTTGAGTTCTTCTGGATAAATTTTACTTGGTTAGATGCATAAATGATTGGCTTCACATATCAAACTAAGTTATAATGTAATTTATTTGTTTTTTGCAATATGTAAACCCAGCCACTGTAATGATAAATAAATAAGATTTAGTATGATGTGTGAAACCAGCCACTGTTGATCATTCAGCAAACCACAGTTAAAATAAGCTATGGATTTCCCTAATAATATGAACCCAGCCAGTAACTATATCCTGTCCCAATGGTTATGGACCCTGGTTAGGAACAATAAAAGTAACCAACGAATTCTTTGCCAAAAATAGTTGAATTAAAAGTCTTAATTGAAAAAGTCAAGGCAAAGCCTTTTCTTTTAAACAGTCCCAAAAATATGTCACTTTTGTTATATTGAGGCTGCAAACATTTATCAATTTAATTAGTAGGTTAACAATCCAATATCCAATTAAGTTCCACAGAATTCACTAGTTTATTTAGGTATAGGGCCACAAAATTGCAGCTGAATTTAAAAAAAGAAGGCTAAGTTCTGACTTGTCCTGTTTGTTTTTAGCCCTACTGCTTCCTTTTCTAAGGCTGCAATCCTAAGCGTATTTTTAAAAGGGAAGGGATACCATTTAATTAAGTTTATTTCTCAATAAACATGCAAAAGACACTAACAATATTAAATACAGCCTTAATATTCAAACAAATAGTAGCTTCTTTTAAGAACTTATCTCATATTTCCTTCAATACAATCAAGAAGACCTACACTGAAATGTTTTTAAAATATATTTTAAACTATCAAAAGTAAGAAATGAACAAATCAGGATTATATTTAAAAACTATTCCTGTTTTTTTAAAACAAAAAACAAAAAAGCCAACTGTGAGACTAGAGAGGGAGAAGAAGAGGAACATCCTTTATAATTGAACTTCCATTTGAAGTTGCAGGAAAAAAAAAACATTTGCAATAGTGGGCAGTATCAAGAGCACCCAGTGTTCTGGACCACAAGATGACAACCAGCAGAAAACAAGCCAGATTTTGCAATCAGCTTATCAGGAAGATATGCTAAAAGCAACAGTAACAACAACAGAAAGAACAGATAAGACATGAAAAGGGTTTTAAGGGAAACCTGTTGTTCTTTTTTTTTAAGTGTTTCTTTAAAACTTTATTTAGTCTGAATAATCTAATATATTTGTTAATGATCTGAAATTTCAGTTCTAATAAAACTTCAGCTCCCAGCAAGTGGAAGCATCTAGCCAACCATGGCTGATCTTGATAAAAGTAAGTGGCTGATCCTGCAATGGGAGACCATCAATAAAATCCACTGCTATGGGTTAGAGTGGGACACTGAAACCACTTGTATATTGGTGCCAAGACAACTATACAGCAGAGTAAAGCTTAAGGAAGTTTTTGCTTTCTATTTTATTTAACAATATTTTTACAATATGCCAATGTCTATGGGTAGGACTGCAGCATGATTTTTTAAAATTCTTTGTTCAGGACAAAGTAGGACTCCTAAAGAATTAGGGAATGTGGCAACAGGGCAACACTCTATACATTTTACTTTCATCATTTCTCAGCCAGATTTGAAAATACAAAACAGCTCTGTTATAGTGAAGACTAAGATGGGGAGCATAACCAAGGAAATCACTTGGGGAGACATTACAGTCCAGTGCACATTTACTTACTACTGCAGGTTAAGCAAAAAGCAAAAAAGACATCTGGAGGTTACCTAATAGCCACCTAAAGAGCATGCATGCCTCTCCTGACTGTCAGGAATATGACCTCAAGAGAAAGTCAAAGTTACAAGCCAAGGGTGCTAGCATTCTGGTATTTGAATCAACATTTAATTGTGATGTGAGGGATGTCTCCAATAGCAGCATATCAGTATTCATTATCTACAACAGATTTAGTCTGTGGTCATGTCAGAATCCAAAGAAAGAACTGGCAAAACCAAAGAAATAATAAGCCATGCTAATATCTCTATCTCTTATTCTATATACTTTGTTTTATATAATCTTTTATATAAAAGCTATTTTAATATTGTACACAGCCTGGAGATGCTTGGCATGACAGGCAGGGTATGAATATTTTAATCTCATAAGCCAGTTTGGCGTAGTGGTTAAAGAGACCAGACTAGAAATCAGGAGACCGCGAGCTCTAGTCCTGCCTGAGGCACAAAGCCAGCTGGGTAACCTTGGGCCAGTCACTCTCTCTCAGCCCAAGGAAGGAGGCAATGGCAAACCACTTCTGAAATCTTACCAAGAAAATTGCATGGAGTTGTCCAGTCAATTGCCAGGAGTCAAGACTGACTCAAAAGCAAAAAGGAAAAAATATATATTTTTTTAAAGTATTAATGAACCCTCTTCCAGGAACAGTATAAGCAAACAGCAAGTGGTACATTCTTCAGAAAATAAAAAGGGGGTTACTTATATTGCTAACTTTTAAATCCAACCTTCTAAAGCAGCATTTTCACTCCAGGGCTTTAGAAATACTTCTACAGATGATGGAAGTTATACCCCAGTGTATGTGGAAGGTAGCTGGTAAGCAAAAACTGTTCTATGGCATGTTCTCTGTTAACTGCTTTCACTGGGCAAATAATAACTCACCTTAATAATCAATTTCTTGGTTGATATTTTGAGCTGTGAATGGTGGCTGGTCACAAACATTTTCATCAGTAGGTAAAATACAGATCTTTCACCATAAACCTTCTCAGCTTCATCCTAAAAGAACATATTTGTATTGGTTATAGTTGACGAATTGTTTTATATTTCTGTTCATCACAGAAATATAAAACCTTTTAAGTAACATTCTACATTAAACAAGGCAATGTATAGCAGTGCCAAATAAAAAATAATGATGCACAACATGAATCAATATTTTCATATTCCATATTTTGAACTGGAAAAGCAGTGAAGTATGTGCTGTTTTCTAAAAAAAACGCAGTATGCACAATATGACCATATTTTTATAAGACCAATCAAAATGTCACAAAACACTAAAGAAGCATGCAAGTCCTGTTAACTGTTGAGTATGTGCCATCAAGCTGGCATCAACTCTTAGTGACCATATAGATATATTTCCTCCAAGCCAATCAGTTCCTCAACCTGTCCTTCAGGTCTTCCAACAATATACCCATTGTTGCTGTAATTGACTCCATCCACATTACTGCTGGTCTCCATCTTCTTCTCTTTCCTCCCACCTTTCCAACATTATAAAATTTGGAAGAGAGCTAGGTCCTCACATAATGTGTCCAAAATATGATAATTTGATCCTGGTCATTTGTGCCTCAAGTAAGAACTCTGGGTTGATTTGCTTGATGATCCATTGGTTTGTTTTCTTGGCTACCATAGTATTCTCCAGAGTCTTCTCCAAGGCCAAAGTTCAAAAGCATCAGTACTCTTTCTAGCCTGCTTCTTCAAAGTCCAACTTCGGCTTCCATCATGTCACAGGAAAGACCATTGTTTGCATGATTCTGACCTTTGTAAATACAGATAGAACACAGCATCTGAATGTATTTTCCAAGGCCTTCACAGCTACTCTACCAATTGCTAGTCTGTGGCATATTTCTTAACTGCTGGTTCCTTTACTGTTCACAATCAAATCTAAAAGGCAAAGCTATCTACCACTTCAATATTTCCTTGTCAGTTCTGGTTGCTATACCTGTTAATTTGGTCATCTTCACATTTAATCTTAGTCCATTTTTTTCACTGTGTTTCTTGACTTTCATTACTACAGACTATAGGTCATTTGCATTTTCAGTTATCAGAGTAGTGTCATCAGCATAGAGAAGGCAACTGATGTTTCTCCTTTTTTTGGCATTGGTATGTAAACTAACCTCTTCCAATCTATAAGGCAATGCATCGCTCTCCAGATTTGCTGGCACAGTTAGAGCCTTTGCAGATTCTTCTGCTGTTGCTTGTGATATTTTTATAGAGATTCCATCAATTCCTGTGGTCTTCTGACTTGGTAATGACTGGAATAGTAATCTAACTTCATTTTCTAGTACTAGAGGTTCTTGTAAGTAGGAATATCTTCTAAGGTATCTCGGATTTTGACATTTCTATTATATGGAATTTCAGCAAACCTCTTTGATCTTTTTGAATCAGTTACTATCTCCTCATTGGCATCCTTTAGCATACTAATTCAAGGTTGGAATCACCTTCTGAATTCAGAGATATTTTGGAAGCCTTTCCTTGTCTTTCCTTATCTGTTTTCATTTTCATTCTCTTTACATGCGGTTGTAATACTGCTTCTTGTGTCTTCTAACAGCTCTCTGAAATTCTTTGTTAAGTTCCTTCCTGAGACCTTTGTCTTTTTTGGCCTTGTTTTCTCTTCTCTCTTAGGCGATTTCCACCATTTGCTCTGACATCTAATTTGATTGAATTTCTTCTGTTTCTTCATCTTTGCAATCTTTTTGGACATTCATCCTTAAGTTCTTTGATTGCATTCCACAGTTGTTCTGGTTCCCTCTCAATAATGCTCAGGACTTCAAAGCAATTTTTAACACTTTCCTTGAAAATGGTGGGTATATGTACAATATCATATGGAGAGACTGGTTACCTTTGTTCTTCTACTTAACTTGATCTGCACATGTGTACTTTATGATCTATTTTCTACAGTCAGCCCCTGGCCATATCTTCACTGAGCATTTCCACTTCCTTGTATCAATAGAATAGTCAATTAGATTCCTGTGTACTCCATCTGGTGAGGTCCATGTACATAGACATCATTTTGGTTGCTGGATTTAGATTGACAGAAATTGGTAAGTCGTTCTCCTGCTTCATTTCTGTCTTCCAGGCATACAGTCCAACTTTGTTTTCTCAGTATTTCCAACTTTGCATTCCAATCTCCAACCACAAGCAGTGTATTTTGCTTGTACGTTCTCAGTGTTGTTGATTTCAACCTCCTCTTCTTGCATCAGTGGTTAGAGCATAAACTTGGATAATTGCCATATTAAAGGTTGCCCACGAAGTCTAATTCATATTATTCGGTCATTGACTACGTTGTACTCAAGGACTGTTTTTGCTATATTCTTCCAACAATGAAAGTAACGCCCTTTGTTTTATATCCTGAGTAGTAAATAGTATGTTCTTCTGACTGAAAGAGACCCACCACTCCATTTCAATTTGTGATGCCTAAGATGTCAATGTGTAGTTGATCCATTTCATCTTTCACTATGTTAAACTTTCCCATGTTCATGCTTTCTATGTTCCATGTTCCCAGCTTCAAACTTTTTTTTCCCCCTACATGGCAATATCACTGCTGCCCAATATAGGTGCCTGCTTGCTTTAGCTGGGGAACCAAGATGACCTTTACACCTTGGGTGATACTGGTGGGACTATACATTTTTGGCATACACTCCCACTGTTCTTTGTTCATCCGCTCAGGAGCACCCACAAGAGGGGAGTCAGACAGGAATGTGTATTGGCTCCAGTTTTATTCAACTACTATATAAACTCATTGGTACTTCATCTAAGTAGCTCTACTTTTCATCCTCCTAAATTAGCCCAAAGACATATCAATTAATTACTCTATGCAGATGATGCAGTAATTCTGTCATTAACTTCTACTGGCCTCAAAAGAGCTTTCCGATCACCTATACATTACTGTACTGAGGAGGAACTAATAATAAATTATACCAAGACTAAGATACTTACTTTTCCCAAATGCCCAAAACAGAGAAGTGAAACTTAGGTGGGCAGTCCATTGAGCAGGTTAAGATATTTAGATATCTAGGGATAGTTTTTCAAGCTTCAGGAAGCAGAAATGCCCACTTGGACTATGTATCTCAAATGCACAGAGATCTGCATCAGCTATCCAAATTTATTATTTTTCCAGAGGAGCACAGTTTATCCCTGCTGCAGTTAAGCTGTTTACAGCTAAAGCCTGAGCAAACTGCTATAGGGCTCAATTGGGACCATATAACAGCATGGTTACTTTGAAAGAATACAAACAAAATTTCTAAGAAACATCTTCCAGGTTACCCACTGTGTTCCAAATGCTGTACTTCAACAGGAACCAAGAGTCAGTAAACTTGAATCTAATCTCTGGATAAATATCCTTACCTACCGGCTAAACTTACATCACAACCTCAGTGGACTGACCCATCTAATATTGGCAGGTAACCAAATCCTCTTGGGAAATAGCTATTCAAAAGAAATTGAGTTTCCATGGTTTCTCCAGTAATGTCATCTTAACCTTAAAGTCAGATCAAGCTAGATTAATGTTAAGGCGAAGGATCTTAGATATAGACGGCTAAACAAACTGCTGCATTTTCTCATTATATAATTGCTAATAACCAAATCTTAGCGCCTAAACCAGCTTCATATTTATATCATATTACAGTCCCCAAATTCAGGAGAGCCTTATCTCTAGCCCAATTTAACATCCTCCCCACAGCTGTTTCAAAAGGGAAATATAGGAAAACCCCATATGAAACCTGATATTGCCCCTGTGACACGGATGCCATAGAAACCAGAGTTCATATTCTTTTGTATCATCAGTTCTACAGAGACATTTGCCACCAGTTGATTACCCCCCTTTTATTTAAATTTCCAGGGCACTCTAATAATTTTTATTTGCATTATCTATTAAACAACCAGATACATTTATTTCTGTAAAAGTTGTAAAATTCTGCTATATTATGTGTAAGCTTTGCCCACAAATGGTTGCCAACAGTTATTTATGTTAGGCGATAATTTTTATTTTTATTTATTTTATTATTAAATTTGTATGCCGCCCATGTACACCAACAGGTGACTCTAATTTTGCTTTGTTTGTTTTATATAATGTATTTTTATTAGTCAATGACCGAAATAAAGTTTCTTCTTCTTCTCTAGCAAAATAAGATTATATTAAGGGAAGCTGTGCAAGCTTGTAGTTTTTAAAGCCAGCACTTTATATGTTAATTAGACTGTCAATTAAATATTATAACATGTTTAAGATTTTATCCCTTCAAGGAGCAAATCTTCCTCTTATGTGCTGTAAACAGAACCTCAAACAACACACAAATCTCTTTTCAAAATGATGTTTCTGTGGCATTAAAGAGGTGGCAGAGGCATAGAAGGTCAACACAGCAAAGGGGACAGCTTACAGCTTACAGCTGGTCTAAATACAGGTAATAAATACACACACACACACACACACACACATACATCCAAACATCACAGATCTCACTCTTACCTGTATTCTGAACCAGGAAAATTTATTTGCAGGCAGTTCAAGAGCCAATCTGAGAATATGATAATGCAGAACAGGACAGATTTCCTGTTGCAGTCCTTTTTCAGTAAAAATACCTATGATTTGCAAAGAGTACTGTTACTGATTAAAGTTAAGACAGAAGATAAAACAACCAAATGAAATAAAAAACTGAATGGCGTTACACATTAAGATATTTTTTCAGCATCGCAACTTTATAATTTATTTATTCATAGATTTATTTATTTATCTATTTCACACATTTCTAGGATTGCTTGACTCCAGAATGACTCTGGGTGACTTACTAAACAACAACAGCACAGACAAGCAGTAAAAACCTTCTCTCCCATATTACACCCAATCAAAAGTAGCTCAACAAACACCCTAGTTCAAGGCCTGGGGGAAGAGCCAGGTTTTCAAGGTTGTTTAAAGGCAGGGAAGGTAGGTATTGTTTGAAGCTCTGGGGAGATGCTTGCTAGAGTTGAGTTTGAGCCTGTTTCTCACCATCCAGCCCCCAACAGCCTCCATGCACTGGGATGAGACCTATCATCAGTGTACCGTACTTGAACCCAAACTGACAGATTACCTCACCCATCAGCTTCATGTGGATATTAAACAGCCCTGAGACACCCATAAGGTAGTGGCTCTGGACTTGACCTCTTCCCCTTCCCACCAATTATCAACTAAAACTGACTGTGGAAAAAGGAGAACCACCAGAACTCCATGTCTCCCACTTCCAATTCTTGTACTCAGTTCAGAATGATACCATGATCAATTGTACTGAAAGCCACCAAGACATAAAGGAGGGCCCGGATGGTTACACCTTTCCCATCCCATCGTAATGTGGATCTCTCTCTCTCTCTCTCTCTCCCTCTCCCTCTCTCCTATAAATATTATTTTTGGTGTATTCCTTAGCCCATTATCGTAAGCATACTTAACATTACCTTTTATTAATTTGCTAAAATCAAAGTTGCTCTGTGCTACTAAGTGGGGAACAACTTGCTGATAAAGGCATATAACTTGAAGTAAAACAGCTTTCAGAAGAGTGGTCTCTACATCATCCAAGCCTAGAAAAATCATAGATTGACAGATATTAAAAAACAAAGAAATACCATCTTGCCCTAAATAAAATCCCATTTTATATCAGTTACTTTCTCTACACATAGCACAATCATGAAAAATAGTGGCCACTAATATATGTAAATTAAAAAGGAATAAGCTGACAGCATATCTAGGAAATTAAAATGATAGATTTAACAGTTTAATCCTGGCTCCTTCTTTTGGTGCTTGGAACCGATTCTCCCCCCTCTTCTGGGTCAGTAATCACTGCCAGCATTGTTATAATACTGTTCAGTAAAAAAAGAAAGAAATTACCAAGTATTGATGCATACGACTTTGATGTCTATATGAGGAGGGAGAAACCATTGGCAGGACTGCTTGTGTGCCAAGCCAACATTTGCAAAATGAAGGACTTTTAAGGGATGTATGTCTTAAGAGGCAAGTGATACTTGCATTGTACTAAATAATATGGTTTGCTAGTTTGTGACTTTGCATGGTTTATTAACACAGTCCCTATGGGGCTGTAAACCATGGTTTATTGCATAGTCAATTCTATGAACCCCACAGACAACTGTATGACAACTGCAATTTATTCAATAATGGTTTACACCATCCAGGAATTAGTGTGAGGTGTGAACTAGGACACTAAGTTGTCTTCTGCTTGCCTTCTATAGAAAACTTCCTTAGTTGCTTTGCTGCAAGAATCTCTTTATTCAGAATTATGCACAGGACTGGGTTATAACTTAGTCTGCAAAATCTTTTCAGAAACAACAATGCTGAATTCTATATTCAAATCCAACACCAGTACAAGACTGTAACTGCTACTGGATGAAATATTCAAAAGCGTTTTGAAACAAGGGCTAATAATTTTATTAGGTGCTATTAAAATATAACTCTCACATTAAACAGGACTTGTCAAGGGTCAGCTCAGGGCCACCATGAATTATCAGGTATTTTCAGTCACTGGTTAAAAGAACAAATCTACAAGTGCATAGACTGACCAAAGATTTCTTACCATGCTCTTTGTTTGTTTCATTCACCACCTTCGTTTTCTCCATAAAAGAAGCAGCATCTTTTCCTCTCTCTTTCTGTCCTTCTTGAGCCTTATCTTGCTTTAGAAAGGACTGCCAGATGGCGATTATGTTAGTCATATCTGGTAAAAGCTAGATTTTAAAGAAGATTATCATGTTGTACGAAGCAAAAGTACTGGAGAAAAATTAGATATCTTCATTCGTGCAAAATTTGCAGGTCATTACCTGTTTTGGACGTATTAACAAGACAGATTATACTTTTTCTCTGTAAGTTACTTTAATCTGTTATTTATTTATTTATTAAATTTGTATGCCGCCCATCTCCCCCAGTGGGTGACTCTGGGAGGCTCATGATAAAAGTAAAAGCCACAAACAGTTAAAAAATAAATACCCCCATTCGTTAATTAAAACTAATTAATTAATTAAAAAGTCAAACTACAGAAACAAGCCCTATGCATAAAAACTAAAAAACATTCAAGATGACGGGGGAGTAACATCAATTATCCCACAAGCCACTTCCACTGGTGTGAGCCCCCATGCAGCCCCCAAGCCATCTGGCATAGCCAGGATTTCATGTTCTTCCTGAAGGCCATGAGAGTGGGGGCACACCACACCTCGGGAAGTAGGTTGTTCTACAGAGTGAGGCCACGGCAGAAAAGGCCCTCTTCCTAGATCCCACCAGTCGAAATGTTTTGACTGGTGGAGTCTGCAACATGCCCCTTCTGCTGGACCGAGTGGAATGAGCTGATATAACAGGGGCGAGACAGCTCCTCAGATAACCTGGTCCTGTGCCATGAAGGGCTTTAAAGGTGATAACCAACACCCTGAATTGGACCCGGAAGCAAACTGGCAACCAATGCAGCTCGCGTAACAGTGGTGTTATATGGGCCCCCCTAGGGGCATTCAGAACTGTCCGCGCCACTGCATTCTGCGCCAGCTGTAGCTTCCGGATATTCTTCAAGGGTAGCCCCATGTAGAGCACATTGCAGTAATCCAACCAGGAGGTGACCAGGGCATGAGTGACCGTGCGGAGGGCCTCCCGATCGAGGAAGAGGCGTAACTGATGCACAACATGAAGTTGCGCAAAGGCCCTCCTAGCCATGACTGCCACCTGCTCTTCGAACAGGAGTCGTGAATCCAGGAGAACCCCCAGATTACGTTATGATTTTTCTCCTATTCAAGCTTCACTTCTACCATTTAAATTCCTTTTTGTTTGTTTTTACATTCATTCCACTGTAGCTCCAAAACATCATCTAAGGCTCAGAACATGGGCATCAGTGGGTGGGGGGGAGGCAAGGGGTATAAAGGACTCGGGTGTGACATTATCACACATACTTATGTCAGATTTGGGACACAAGGACATATGTCATTCCTTTGGCAATCATCAAGGTTTGCTGCAGGTGCTGCTAAGATAAGGGAGTCGTAACAGGGGAAACTGTAGATCTGTGCTAGCTCCACTGGATCTCAGCCTATATCTGTTGCCCCATCTTTTATTACTTGCAGCAGTTCATCAGAACTGTAAATCTGATAGCTTCTTCATCCTAAGTTAAACTTCGGATTCAAATCTCTCAGATGGATAATTAAGAAAATGTTACTTTACCGTCTCCAGTAAGTCTTTATTCTAAGAACCACACTTTAAGACTCAACACTACTATAAACATGGAATTAAATTTGCGAAAAGCTTTTAAATATTGTTAAAACAAATGAACTTTTAGAGCTTCTTCCAAATCAAGAGTAATATATAAGCCAATATAATGAAAAAAGATAAACACCTAATGAAATACCTCTGGATATTTATACCCACAGCTGCCAGAAAAAAGGAGACAGAATCAAAAGGCAGAAGCATTTCTTGTTCCTCAAACTGTAATTCAAGCCTGTTTTCTTTTTTGAAAACATTGTACCTTACTAAGTGCTTCCCTGTACTGCTGTACAAATTCCTTCATGATAAGTGGAGTATAGATTTCTGACTTCTCCCATTTCTTCTCATTCTGACAATAGTCAATATTTTTCAGTGCTCTTTTCAGAATAGCTGATATAAGTGAAAAGATGGTATGTTTCACTGTTTTATTGGCTATCTAAAATTTAAAAAAACATGGAAAGTGTTACTTGGCTTTATCTTCATCTTGCACATTTTAACAATGTTCTCTAAAGTTAACTAATAACAATCTACAGACAGGTAGGGAAAACAACTCAATGCATAGGAAGAGGAAAGACAAAAAAAGGGATGCATCAAGTGGATGCTTTTAAAAGTAGCACGCTCAGTCTGTTTTGACATAGTGCTTCTCTTAAGGAAATTCGTTATTATCCAGTCTTCTGCAAAGTGCAACTTACCCTTTGGATGTGTTGGACTGCCAGTCCCATCACCCCCAGCCAGTATGACCCAATGGAATGTTATAATGAATTGCTGCTTAAAATAAACAGAAGATGCAAAACAGGGAACTGGACATGCTGGCTAGATTCATACACTGTGCTATGCCATAATGTGGTCTGTTTGTTTATGGCCTTACTGCAATATGTGAACCAGATCATTTGGGCTTATTCAATAAATCAGGTTTTAAAAGTCCTGATATAGTACAATGCATGAACCCAGCTTTAGGTTGCTATGGGAGATATCGAATGAAAAATTCCATATTAATCTGAAAGCATACATGTTCTTACACCCACAGTTCTTAAGGTAAAGTGAAGATAGACTTGGGAAGAAATGGGTGCCTTATGATAGACACAGATACCAGGATAATATAAATGTACAAAAACAACAAAGCAGGGGATGGTATGTATTTAGTTAATAAGCTTTCCTGTTTACCTACCTTGTCAACTACAAGTAGTGATCAAAATGATTAACCTATTAAAAGTAACAGTAGTTCTCTAACAATAAGGAACTTTTAAAAAACATGCCTGTTTCTACCTTCTTTCAAGAATTTCATGTAGCATACTTAGTTCCTACTTGCACATTTTATCTTGCCAACAATCCTGCATGTAGATTAGGCAGAGAATGGGCTTCAAAAATTACTCAGAAGAGGTTTTGGGGAATACATGGAAGGAGGCAAAATAATCCAATGCTTTAATGAGTCAACTTGTTAAAACAGTGATATCTTTTCAGGCTCATAGAGAAGCCTGCAAAAATATACAGCTGCTCTAAAGAAGTGCCACACTTGTGTTCAGAAGTACTTCTTCCAAATAATTTTCAAAATATGCAAACACTATATAATAGACCTTACCCAGTTAGGGTAACAATACTAACAATGATCTCTTACCACTATATGTTCAAAAGTGAAGTCCTCTACTAGTGCTATTCAGAGGAAATTGGAAGCTTTGACTTTTATTCTTAATGCATCACCATTTAGCATTACATTCTAACTTGCAGTTAATCATATTTGTGGATTAATAAAACAAACAACATGCTACAATGTAAAGCTCCCTTATTCTAATAACCCACAGTTAAGATTAACTGCTGGGCAGATCTAATGCTCTGAAGACAAAAATTCCACAAGCCTTTTCTGACCACCCTGAAGAGAGAAAGGGGAAGAATATGAGACTAAAGACTGGATAGACTGGTTTTCATAATGCACTTCTATTGAATTTTTTTTCAAGATATACTGCCCATACAATGGGGGAGGGGAAGTAGAAGGATCACACTAAGAGTATGAACTAAGTTCTTACATTTAAACCTTGGGTGAACATGGCTTTATCGCACACTGCAGGTACTGTTGTCACTTTCACCATAGAAAGCAATTTAGGAAGTGGAATAAATTCAGTGGTTTTAAAAGCACTGGAAATTTCTGGCTGAGCCTCATAGATCTGAAATTAAAAAAACACACACACATATACAAATAAATATATAATATACATACACAAACCCAAATGTCAATTAGCGGGATTCATGATGGTCTAAATGCCCAATTGCATATGAAAAGAAAAAAATGTAGAACTGAAAAAGTTGGCAGGAGAGGTCATTACTGAAGCAGGAAAATTCTTACTAGTTTTAAGGTAATTAGGGAAGCACAGGCACAATTATAGAACAACTGCTATGCTGTTCTGAAAAAACAATATTCTACAAGACCTGGGAACACAGGATTCAAATGCTATACTTCTAAATGACTTCCTCCTTTCCCTTTCCCTTGTGCTAGAAACCAGCCTAGGCCTATATCCCAGAGCAAAAGTAACTATCAGCAAAAATAGGTCTCAGCACTGCAGAACACACATGGCTTTTCTTGCCACTATAATATGCCAAAACAGTGTATTACTCCTTTATTGTGTAATGTGTACCCAGTATTGCTGGTTTTGCTATTTAGTATGTTGGTTTATGGCTTTTACTGTGGTGTTTTAGTGATTTTGTCATAAGCCACTTCTGTTTGGGCCATATGAGCAACACATACATTTGATCAAAAATCTCTCAATATATTGCATATACATGCTCTGTACTGTCAGATGACCATAAAGCAGAGAACAGCAGCATAAGAGACAAGACAAAGAAAACAAAACAGAACCCTCAATGGTTTTTAGGCATACCAAAAATATATTTGCATGGGGGGCAGGGGAGAGGGAATAGAGATATAAATCTTTTCATATTAACTATACTCTCATTTGATTTTCAAGATTTTAGTTAAACCATTATGTCACCTTTTGATATAACAGAGATCTCTGTTACTGATCCTTCTCAAACATTCTCCACCACTTTTTATCACCTCTTCCTAGGCCAGTGCCTCACAAACCATGCTCACATAAAATGATGGTGACCAATGTCCACCACATCTGGTAGGACACACAAGGGAAGAGTGATCTAATACCTTTCAGGCTGATGCTTGAGAAACAGACTACCTTTTCCACAAATAACTAGTAATACCTAGCATCAAATAACATGCTAGCTAAATAATCTTTAGTTCAAAGGCTTACCAGTCATTCAACCTATAGAGGGGACCTGGTACAGTGATATAAGAATTCAGTAAACACAGGGAAAGATAATCATACATTGGCCACTACTGTATTTAATCACCTCTCCTAAGTTAATAGTGCACTCCTTCTAAAGGGCTATGAACAGATAACAGCAATTAAGTGCTGAAAACACACAAGAATAAATTTAGCAGCCCACATATTACAATCCCACTTCCTGTTTATTGTTCTGACTCTTTTCATTTCAAACTTCTGAAATGAATGAACTTCAGTGCAAACTTTCTATAGGATTGTGCTGAAAAAAAAATCCCTGAGTATTTTTTCTCTTAGTTCTCATTCAGTTTAATGAAAAACCATGTGCTTTTGAAATGTATTCAAAGGAGAAGAGAATCTGCATGAATTTTTCATGGGTTAAGGGTGGCATTTTTGTATTTAATTGGCTGCCAAAAGGTGTCTTTCACTATAAAAATCATCTCTTTAGCTGTTGTATAGCCTGCCTTGCTTCCCATACTTCAACTAAATCCAAAGAGAAAACATCATAGGGAATCATTCCTCCACTGGGAAGTTTCAGCAATCAGGGAATCATCTGTGAGATGGAAAGATTTGTAACAAAAAACAGCAGTAGCAATGATCTCCACTTTCTTCAACTATAAAAGTTCAAAAAGACCACAAAAAGAAATTATAAAGAAATTCCTAAACAGCCTGAGAGAAAGGCATTAAAACACAATCCTCTTCCACAAGGTAAAAAAAAAAATCTAAAAAATTACAATGCAAATGTTGGCACAGCGTGGCTTATCCATGCATTACTGACAGCTAGGCAGGATTATTATAATGAAACTCTATGAGGAGCTGCCTTTAAAGTTAGTTTGTAAAACTCTTTATTGTAAAACTCAGGTATTGTACTATATTTGAGGGGGCTCATTTATTAAATCACATGATGCCTAATTGTACTGATTGCATTGGTACTTCCAAGCCTAACTGATGTTTTAATTGGCTGAATACATACAGTAGTTACTGGATATGGATGTAGTTACTGATTGGAAGGGGCTCAGAAATATGAATGACACTGAGTTGAGGGCCCCTCTTCTTTCCCCTTCAAAAATAAACAAAAGCTAAATGAATAAGTTTGCAAACCTATAGATTTACTGGGGGGAAGAGGGGAAGTCCACTGAATTCACTGAAAATTCTTTCCAAGTAGAAACTTATACATCTGGACTATAAATAATCCCAAAGGGTCAAAAAATACAGATCTTTTACATTTGCGTTTTTATCACAATATTAATGTATATTAATACAAGCTTACAATACCCTTTGTAATACAACAAAACAGAAAGTAATTGATGGCAATGTAATTCAGAAATTTCAGAGTTATTCAGATATAGCATAATTTATTATGACAAAAACTCAATCTGTGACAGTTCCTTTTCTCTTCCCTCTTCTAAATAATACCTACAGATTTTATCTGACTGCAGTCTCTCTCACAGATGAGAATTACCAAAAAAACCCTCAACAACCAAAAATCCTTGAATTATTTATGCGAACAATATGGGACAATCGGAGAGAGAAGCTAGATTGAAGCAAATGGAGCTTAATTTGAATCAGAAGTTATTTACTCACATCACGCAAAGCCTTGAAAGAGGCACAAGAGAGCCCCAAGGTCTGACTAGTTTGCTATTTATCCATGCTTGAGCAACCCCTTAATTAAAATGAATTTCTTTCTGACTCTCCATCAAATATAACAGGGCAAATATAGTCACATTCACACAGAGGCACTTCAATGACTGTCATTATAACAAGAGAAACGTTGATAAGAGTCATTTTCATGTACTAAATACATACTTTTCAAGTAGTTCTTACCTTTCTCAGCAATTTCATATTGTCTAGCCATGCAGATTTTAGCCTGGGAACAAAAGAATACTGGGATTCCTTAAAATATCTGTTCAGTAAATCTGGGCACACTTTGAAAATGTTCACCATAAGATCAGCAACCATCTCATCTTCTACAGCAGTCTTTAGACTCAGAAGAAAGCGCAGCAGTACCAAATTACCTCCTCTAATAAAACAACAGTTTGAGAGAAGCATCACTTTGACGGAATATGCTAGCACTAATCAACAAAAGTGCTATCAATATCAGAATACATTCTGCAAGTGTTTTCAGTGGGCAAAAGTTACTGTAAGTCAGCCTTTCTCATTCATTTTGGAGGATGGCAGGATGGAGAATATTATCACAATACATACAAGGGGGTGGGGGGCTGAACCTGTTCAATGAAATATTTTACTTTTGTTTCCTTCTGGAGTCAGACTCCACCCATTTCATAAACTGCTTTTCAAACTTTTATCTAACAAGAAATAGAAAAAAATTAACCTGAAGGGTATAAAAATGACTATAATTTTGCTATAGTTCAGCAAGTCAGCAACCTGTAATAGTAGGTGATCAACCATGCCAAACCAGAAGGAACCCTCAGTGACTAAAATTCTATTGTCAAGTGCAGTGAAAGGCATTCAACAAACCCCTAAACTCACAAAATGTTATGAGCTTTGGAATGAAAAGAGAATGTATTTAGAACTTGATTTGGTTAGCCTTTTTACCTGAACAGCTTTGTATTGCTTTATCTACAACTGTAAGGTGCATAAGGGTCTCCATTAAAAAAAAATCTTACAAGCTACCAACCTCTGCTTAAATCTCTTACTAATACTGCATAGAATCTTCAATTACTTATGCTATCATGTGGCAATTGCAATTTACATACAGACCTGCAGATTAATTAACTGAATGCTATTGGTTTCAAATGCAGACTTTGCCCACTGTAGAATAAGAAGTTGCCAGAAAGCTGCGGGAAAGGGGAAAAAAAGGGAGTGGGGACTTGCCAGACCCAATATTTAAAGGATGGGGGTTAACGAAGACTACATGACCAAAACCAGTAAAAGCTTTGCTTCTAGAATAGGTCAAGAGATAAAAGTCTTGTTCTGTTACCTCCTCACTCTGTAGAATTGCCACAGGATAGAATAACAAACACTCTGCCATTCACAAAAGATGAGACAACACTGAAGAAAATACTGCAAACAATTTCGCTCTAAGCTAAATAGAACTGCAAAAAATAATCAGACTTTAACACTGAACAACCTGAATGCTTTACCTGCCAGACGTGCCAAGACTTGGATCATAAAAGTTAATGCCATGTTTCAGAGAACAACAAATGTTCATTAAAAATTTATGAACCAGTTCTCTCACTAAAAGCTTTCCTGGCTCTTCACAGTCTTGGGAAGCCTGCATAAAATTAGCAAATTGGAAAAAAAAAGTCAGGTTTATCATGTTTGCTTATTCAGTATTTTCAGAGCACAAATTAGAAGATATCAGTTTTACTCTTAAATGTTTCTAGTGCTTCCCCATGCCGATAGGGGAATTATGGGTGTGCAACCTCAACGTATCTGAAGGCAGCCATATTGTGGAAAGCTGCTGTAGATTCTGCCTCCTTGTATAAAGCTGGCTGCTCACACTGGCCCAAACTGGATACCATTTTCCCACAAATAGCCCAGATTACTATTCCTAATATGGCGAAATATTTTCACCTTACTAGGCAAACTCTGGGCTTAGTATGGCCTTTCATTTTCCTCCTTTGACTGGTGACATGTAACAATATGTTTCTGTCCATCTTAAAAAGTATTTAGATGTAGAGAACACATTATACCTTGACATCTTCTGTGCTGACATCAGTAATTCCATTCCAGCGGTAGAGTGAAGCAATGTGGTTCAATATTTCTGAAGTAAAAAAGTGCACCTTCTGGGTCTTACTGATATTTTTATTGAGAACCACCTATAAATAATACAATATAATAATGCAGTCTTAATGTGGCACAAAACTGTTGTTTTCTTATAATAGTTCAAAAATTCTTAAGTGAGACCATAAGTCTGCAGTTACATCTATGGGAACTGTCAGAAGTATCATAAACAATTCTAATGCCGCTGTTGCATTTGTTTGCAACTTTAATTTTTTGTTTACTTAAAACATAGACGCATAAGCAAATCAAACAAAAAGCTCCGTAACAGAAATGCTGGTAAGTTCTTAAGTACAGCAAAATAAGAAAATGGTAATCAGAGATTGTCTGGAAAACCACACTGAAGCTATTTCAGCAATCAAAGAAGATATAAAGAATAAAGCTATTTGCAGAGTATACCTTAGATTCCAGGGTTGAAAGCAGAAGGTTAATTGTAGAAATTCTATCTTCTTTTAAACCTGTCCTAATAATATCTGGAATGAAATCTAAAAAACATTTATAAACGTTAACATTACAGCTGGAATACAGTAAACATTTTTAATTGAATCAATTTTGCAAAGCTTTGCCACTGTTACATAAGAATACATTATGTTGACAACATATACCAAAAACACCCTTCCCCCAGAAGTGAGGTTGGCCCCCTCCCTGTTAGACTTCATAAAAAAACTGAAGACCTGGTTTTGTCATCACACATGCGGTGGGGATGGGAATAATCAGTTTTGGGGCTGGCTGTTTCCCTAGTCTTACCTTTGACCGATATTATCTGGCCACAGGCTGAAATAATATCACCATCTCTTGGATTTTATTGTAATAATTGTATTTTATATTTGTATTATTTATGTTTTTACTGATTTTAAATTGTTTTGTTGTGAACCGCCCAGA